GCTGCAGTGGCTCATGATCTGAGACATGAACACCGTGTAGAATGACCTCAGCTCCCAAGAACAAGTGATTCAGAGTACAGTGACTAGGATTCTCATGGCTTCAACTTCCCATTCCAATTGGAGGGGATTCAAGATAGAAAAAACAGGACAGTGGCCTGAGATGGTTGAGGTGCACATCAAAGGAAAGATTTCAGAGAGCCCAGGCTCTTGCATCTTCCCATACATGTGTGTGTGCTTAGTCGTTCAGGCTCCTCTCCCCATGGGATTTCCCAGGCAAGAATACTGGGGTGGGGGGGGGTTGTCATTTTCTTCTCCAGGGGATCTTCTTGAACCAGGGATTGAACCAGGTTTTCCTGCATCTAGGGTGGATTCTTTACCACTGAGCCATCAGGGAAGCCAACAGGGGGCTAGTTACTGAAAAGAATAAATGAGATAACGTGTTGTTTCTCAGACTTTCAGTTCAGTTCAGTTGCTCAGTCATGTCTGACTCTTTGTGATCCCATGGACTGCAGCACACCAGGCCTCCCTGTCCATCACAAACTCCCAGAACTTGCTCAAACTCAGGTTCAACGAGTCGATGACGACATCCAACCATCTCATCCTCTGTCGTCGGCTTCTCCTCCTGCCTTCAGTCTTTCCCAGCATCAGAGTCTTTTCCAGTGAGTCAGTTCTTCATATCAGGTGGCCAAATTATTGGAGTTTCTGCTTCAGCATCAATCCTTCCAATAAATATTCAGGACTTATTTCCTTTAAGATGGACTGGTTGGATCTCCTTGCTGTCCAAGGGACTCTCAAGAGTCTTGTCCAACACCACAGTTCTAAAGTATCAATTCTTTGATGCTCAGCTTTTTTTATAGTCCAACTCTCACATCCATACATGACTACTGAAAAAACCATAGCTTTGCTGAGACAGACCTTTGTTGGCAAAGTAATGTCTCTGCTTTTTAATATGCTGTCTATTTTTCATCCAAGGAGCAAGCGTCTTTTAATTTTATGGATGCAGTCACCATCTGCAGTGATTTTTGGAGCCCAAACAAATAAAGTCTCTCACTGTTCCCACTGTTTCCCCATCTGTTTACCATGAAGTGATGGGACTGGATACCATGAACTTCATTTTCTGAATGTTGAGTTTTAAGCCAACTTTTTCACTCTCGTCTTTCACTTTCATCATCTCAGATTTTACCATTCATTAATAAGATTCCCTCTCACCCCTACCTGGATATCTTGTTAAAATGCAGATTTTCATTTAGTAAGTTTGGAATGGAGCCTGAGATTTTGCCTTTCTTACAAGCTTTTTGATGGTCCAAAGACCTCACGTTAAATGTTTGGAAAGTATGTGGTATGTAACTGATGATCTGAAATTACTACTAGTCATTATCCCAATTATCCTCATCAAACTCATAACTGTAAACTGCTTCCATTTATATTTAATGATCATGCAACACAACAAAGATAAGTTATCAAATTACCCAAGATAATTTTTCTTATAAACTTGGCTTAATCTCAGTAATGTTCTCTGTCTCTATGTGTTTATTTTCATATTACACGGCTCATTATGCACAATTTTAAAAACCAGAGAAAATGACCATGAAAATATCTTTAACTTATAATTTTGTTAATTATCTATGTCCATTTTAGTATGTAAAGAAGAAAATATAATTTATTGAACTGCAGAAAGTTTAATTCCTACTTTACCCAATCAAAAAATATTATTGTCAGTAGTAATACTGGTTTATTTCATTCAATAACAAAATATTATGCTCAATAATGACACCAACTGTTACATGTACCAAGAAGAAAAAAATTGGAGGAACATGGCCTAAATTATCTAAAAATGCAGTTATATTTGGAAATCACAGCCTTGTATCAGAAGTTACCTCTCCATTTTTTTCTTTCTTTAATGTAGTTTTATACTCTTAAACTTTGCATGTCATATGTTTGACATTTGTAATTTAAAAATTAAAGGAAAAATTATTATTTTGGGCCCTTGTTTACTCTTGACTTTCTCAAATTAGCGTCTTTGTAAAACAGAGAAAATATCCTTCAAAGTGAAGTGCTTCCCTTTACTGTTAAACATTTTTATAGAACAATGAAGGACATGTGAAGTTTTTCCCAAGGCCTAGTTACTCCTTGGCAGTAGGTTATGCATTCCAGTATATAGCTTTTTAATTGTGCTGGGAGTTCAACTCTTCTGTCTTTGATACTTTGGTTTAAGAGCTGAAAGAGTTAATATAATTCCATGAGTAGAATCAATTCAGAGTAGACACATTGCACAACAATAGGAGGGTTAAATTTTTGTAATTTTTTTCCTCAACCATACAAGAGAATTTAAAAAGCATAAAACCAATCAAAATGGAAATGTATTATTTACTATTTAGTGTGATATCAAATTATGCTATCTTTGACCTGAACGGAATTTTCAGGCATCATCTGGTTCAATCTCATTTTTAGGTAAAGGAACTGAAATCTCAGGGGGTTAAATGAGTGCAATTTGTAGTGAGGTTGTTAGGATGAATGCCACAGAATAATACATTGACTTAAATTAAACTTCTGTCTATAAACAGATCTTAACATTTCGTTCTTTTGTGTACAAAATTATTTCCAATACAAGATTCAAAATTATTTTGTGAGTTTCAAAGTACTGAAGGTAAAGTCTTACATTTGTTATATAACCTTCTGAGTCCTATGGGATAAAACATTTATGGTCCCTCCCAAACTTTAGCAAAGTAAATGACTTTTCCTTGAAATATCCGTTTTAGGAACTGTTTCTACAACTTTAAAGTTCCTGTCTATTCCCAAGTGTGTGAACCCATGATGCTACAGATTTGGAGTTAAGATCTGAAGATCACATGAAAACAATTGGCTTTAAATGAGGGTCATAGAAGATGGAAATCAGAGCTTATGATCAGAAATTATTTTTCTGTTTTAGATTTTCAATTAAAAACAAGAAACTGCTATAAGAAAAATGTCTCTTCAACAGGATGTGTAGGCCTTCCAATACCCAAACTCAACTTTTGCACAGATGGAGAATGTATATTCACTGTTGGTCTTATAAAATCTGGTCCAAAATGCCTGACTTCTAAGTGAATGCTCTTTGGGTGGTAATTCCTGTTAAGATAGGAATGATCAAAGCAAGTTTAATGTTGAAAACAGGTATGATTCCTGAATTTGGATGAGAAATTTTATTCATCAGTATCAAAACCAGAAGGGATACAGTTTTGCTGAGGGTGAAATCTAAGGGGTTGAGTGTCAATGAGTTCCCTTGAGATGTCTCTGCACTGTCAACACCTGGGGTTGCTCTTTAAAGATCATCACATCTTTAGGCCTGGCATAGAGCAATAAGGAGACTTAGGTTCCAAACAGCTGCATTTCTGATTTATCTAGATCCATGATTCATATCCATTCTTTCTTTCTCTTTAGAAATGAAATTTATGTCTCTTCTCCCACCCAATTGTTTGCTTGATATATCTTCTTTTTGGCAGAATATTTTTTTTTAAGTTGAATCTCATCCTTATGAAAAAGTAGATCTGTGATATTTTAATGATTTACATTATTTGCTGTTCAACCCTTTGTTATCTATACTGGAGTTTTTTGTTTTTTTTTAACAGCATGCAAACACACACATGCACATGCACATGGTAATGCGGAAGAACTCAGTGAAAATGTATGGAACTACTCAGTTTCTTAAAATGATAGTTTTATTGAGGAAAAAAAAGAATGTACAAAAACCAAATTTTACCACTATTCCATGAGTATAACTGTTCCTAGAGCTTTATGGACAAGTATTCAATTTTACCAAGTGATGACAAAAATTGTTTGTTTTCTGTGTCAGTTTCTACCCAGGTGAAATTTTATCAAATAGAGAAGTCAGCTCTAATCCTGGTTGTTATGGGAATTAGGAAAAAAAATGCCATCTTGTATGAAGTAGAAAGCTGTAGGGAGAGAACAAATTAGCAAAGATGGCATGTTCAGGCTCTCTCCCCACCCCCGCCCACGTCTTATAAATAATTGCGTAACGGCTGAGATCGCTTATAGCACTATGGTTAGGAGTTGCCTTGGGTGATATTGATATATGAGCTCCACCCATAAAATGGCGGGAATTACTGCTGCCTCACGGCTGCGTCCCTTCGATCAGCCATGAGAGGAAAGAATATAGCTTGTTTACTATTGGCGGCTGCGGCGTCAGCCAGGAGGGAATACTGCTGTGGCTGCAGCGCCAGTCAGGAGAGAGGTTGTGTTGTGTTAGGTTGTATTGTGTTAGGTTGTGCTGTGGCTGTTGCCAAGTGAGAATAAACGAGTCTGCTGGTCCTACAGCTCCTCTAGTCTCCTTCCAGCCTCTTAGCTCACGCCTTGCCTACCCGGGGTTCAGTGAACAGTGCGAAGAGTGTAAACAGTGAGACAGTTGGCATCAGGAAAAGAATGAACAGAGATACAAAAGACCAAATTAATACTAATGTTTATTCTTCATAAACTACGCTAGGAGACAGTAGAGCAGAAGTCATGATATTACTCTTTTGGTTTGACAGCCATCCAGCTGAGGCTCCTGGCACAACCGTTCCCATCCTGTAAGTAATATCGCAGGTGACATCCTGAAGTTGTAATGGAAATACACTTTCTGGTTTGAATCTAAGGGAAACGATGACCAAAGTTTGGCAAGAGGCCATGGCCTCCCTCATGAAGGACTCTGGAGGACTATCAAAAGTCTCCAACCTGCAGAAAGCTCTCACCCAACAGACAGAATCTAGTTTGAACAACTCCCAAGGACACTGTATTTTAATGGGACAAACATTGCTGGGTTGGTTTTATCACCTTTCTTAAAAACCTTATGACAATGAAGCCTTCAGAAGTGAGTTTCTCAACGGTGGTACCGTCATGAATTGTCTCCATTCAGTCGCCAATCTTACGATTAAGAATCTGGAAAATTAAGAAGTTCAGAGGAAAAGGAACCTGAGTAGGTGGTAGAGAGGGAAAGAAGTCTGGAATCACGCCAGAGAGCAAGCATGTGGAAACACTTTGTCTTCCTGAGGAAGCCTGTGGACGGCTGCACAGGAGGCGCAGCTGAGGTCCATGGGAGCCTGATTATTGAGTGACACATGCAGCTCATCTTTAAAGACAGATTGGCCTTGCCCTTTCTCAAACCTAAAGCTGGGAAACTTCCTTTCCTTAGCCTCTTTAAAACACTTCATATTACTTCTGGACAAAGGATGAAATATTGAATGTGACTTTTCTTTTCCCAAACTCAATTCTCAATGACCTTGTCTTTCTTAACCAAGTCTCATTATCTCTATTTCTCCCCTTTTCCCTCAGACACTTGTGCCCGCAAACCATGTGAAATTAATTTTGGATCAATCACTTTTGGTACTAGTCTAGCTCATTTCCTTATTTTTCCCCGAAGGTAAATCTCTAAACAAAATGCTCTTTTGTGAACAGTAAAAATCATTTGGTGGGCAGATCGCCAGCTTTTACTTGCAGTTGTTGTTAATTGGCTTAGATGTGTACCAGAAGCAATACAGTGCTTTATGAACCAGTGATACCTTTACTTCAGGACAGGATTCTAGAGAGCATCCAGCTTCCCTTTTACAGTCAGAGTGGTGGGAGGTCAAGGTAAGAAGATCTGTCCTTGTGTTTTAGAGATTCTCCCTTCTCCAACATTTTCATGAAGTAAATGACTTCTTCCATTGACTAGCATCACCACCGCCATTGTCTATCTCATAGTTTTGTGTGTTTTTTTCAATTAAAAAAAATTTATTTAGTTTTGGCACTCAGGCCCAGTTGTAGCTTATGTGCTTAGTTGCCCTGAGGCATGTGGAATCTTCCTACACTAGAGATCAAATCCATGTTCCCTGCATTGGCAGGAAGATTCTTAAACACTAGACCACCAGGGAAATCCTCTAGACCATAGATTTAATTGGAAATAATCTTGCTTAATCTTCAATAAATTCTGAAAGAAACTGCTATGTTCTCTCCAGATACTTTAATTTATAGGATCATCCCAAAGTATGTCCTGAGACTCATTCCGAGAACACTTCAAAGTTTTAATAGCAGCAATTGTGTGTGCATTTGTATAGCACTCTGTAGTTTTAAATTTCAGAAAACGAAAATATCAGTTAGATCTAAAACTTCCAGTCTATAAGAATAACTTGACTTTCCTTATTGCTGTCGGCTGATAAATGTCTCCTTACTGTTTTGGTATTACACTAATTTGGCATGCTCTTGTGAAATACTAAGTAATTATTTTTCTCACATGGAAAGAAACTGACTGGGTAAATGTAATTTTGGGTTAATTCAAAAGACCTCTTAGAAGACATGTTATAAAGAATTTAGGAGATCTTAAAATAACAATGTTGGTATTTTCATAACAAATATGTTTACTTTAGTAACTCAGATTAAAGACAGATTGCCTACTTCTTAGTTTCTGTTTAGATTTTTTTAAGTTGATGGTATATGCAATCTACATTGCATTATAGATTTTTTTCTTCTGAAATTTTTTGAAAATACAGGGGAAAAAAAGCAAAAAAAAAATACAATGAACACTCATGATTTTGCCACTCAAAATTGATATTTTTACCATTTTTGTCATAAAATAAAAGTCAAAGTCCTCTTTGGAATTCATTGACTTTCTAAAGTGTGTTTGTAGAAGTGGGATCTTCTCATGATGTCAGTCTATTTTTCTGAAGTATAATACCTGTTGTGATAAAAGCTGAAATATACCAACAGTCAAACTCTGATACAATCTGACTTCTCAAGTGTGTTGCCTACATGCTATTGGCTATTACTTACTCTCACCATGACTACCAGATAAATTAATACATCAACATAATCAAATGATATAAATAACCACGAATGATGCCTGTTGGGTATTTTATCCACAATGATTTCATTTCTGAACTCATACAAATTTTTTATTACTTTGGAGAGGTTAGCCACTGCTAGTAATAATATAAACTATTTTCTCGTTTGATGAGAAAAAATATACATAATTCCTATCCTGTAATGCCAGTGAAGCAACATAGAGGCCATAAATACAATTTCCCCTCTAAGAAAACACTCAGCAACTCTTTTTTTTTTAAAAGGGAGTGGGCTTATTTCTAAATTACTTTAAAGAATGAGTATTTAAATGTTAACCTGGGTGCTAGCTGTCTCAGGGAAAGAAATAGGAAGATGAAACAGAGGAACATTCCTAGAAATGAGTATGTGACCTATGTGGTCCTTACAGTAAATTATACTAATTCTACATTGATGTTTATGTGTTGTGGCCCTATTAAGCTGATATAACCTTTCCATTAAGTGGGCAGGTGGATTTCCTGTAGTACCCCCAGTGCCTGAAGAGGTATATTGTTTTCTTGTGTTTCCATTACAACATAGCGACTCAGAGGGAATCCTCTGTGGTATTTTCACATAGGTTGTGAATCTTTTATCTGTAGGTTGTGTTTGTATCTGAGAGGTGAATATTAATAGCCTCTTGGCAGCAGAGTGACTTTCTTAAAACAGGGGTTTCCCTGTGTATGGGTGGATTAACCTTTCAAAATATATGTTTCTACTTAAACCACTTGGTTACTGTTTGATTCAAAGGCTGTCATAAAGACACCCTCTCCACATCTCTGTTAGACCTTGTAGTACACTCACCTAGACCTGAGAGGAACTTTCAGTATAGAACAAGGTAAGTAACGTAGCCTCCTGCCTTTACTTTCATTTCGCTTACTTATCCAAGTTTGCTGTAACTTAATTTCTTTTTAAAATGCCCAGAGCTTTCATGTTAAAATGGTATGTATGATTGATTTTTGAGTTTGGTAATATTAGCAGTTAATATCTGGTTTCATGTATTCCAGTGGGAAATGAGATAGAATTTATAAAATGTAACATTGTGTGATGTTCTCCTTTAAAATTTTTACAGCTTTCACCCATTAGTCTTTCCGTGCATGTCAGATAAGAGAAGCTTCTGAAATGACACATTTAACTAAGTGATGGTATCCTATTTACTATTTCTAACAAATCTTTAAATAATAACTAAGTTTAGGCACTCATGGTTAGTTTTACGACGTTTGTCCTCTTAGGCGATATTGCAGGGTTCAGCAATCTTGAGTATGCTGTAATCAGTGCAAGAATCCAGGCAGTATGTGTCACTGTGGTGGATAGCCTTGATTATACGTTTCATGTATGATTCATGTAGCATCATGTTGATGGAAAGCATAAAAAGTTCTAAATATAAAGTTATTGGGTTGATTTATTTAGTCAAATTTTCCAAAGGAGATTGGAAAACAGACTTTCATAGGTATAATTTTAATGTCAGCAATCAGATTGACATCCCAGGCACATTCATTCTAAAAGCTAACAGTGAACAAATGTACTCAAGATGACTACGACAGAGTGATGATTTTTTCACTGATCTAGCAGTGTCTGGTTTAGTCACAAAATTTTTTACTGTGAAATACTACAGGACTTCATTCTTGGGAATCTCAGGCAATGCCCTGTTGCAGAAACTTGGAAAGACCTTTTTTAAATGGCAAAGCATCCAAGGACTTGCTCTCACAGCCGAAGGCCTGCACAGGATCTTAACGTTATGGGTGACAAGCAAGTATTTGTAAAATGAATCAGTGTTAACACAGGCTATTTTCAGAAATATTCTCCTCAAATTTTGGAATCTACTTTTTTAAAATAAGAATTGTAATACGTTTTTAAAATCCAGAAAATGAAGAGAAACAAATCCTCTCATTTTCTCCTTTCTTTTTCACTTTCTTTACATCTCTCTCTGACTCTTCCCATCTTTTGATCTCTCTCTCCTCTCTGCCGGTTTCCCTCACTCTTCACTAAGTTTACATTGTAATTCGTACATCATTGGCTTCCTGTATAATTTGTCTGTTGAAATTTTTAGCCACTGAATAATTTCCCAATTTTAATGAGACAAATGAGGCATGAATAGGAAAGAAATAGTATTTCTTAAACATAGGAAATTTAGTATTAAACTCAGTTCCTCCTGCTAAAGGAACCCAAAACACAGATGTCAGAGGGACCTGAGGATCATTGAAGAGACAGGCTCCATCCTAGATGCCTCATCAGCAAGGTCCTGACTCTTTGACCACCTTCTTCCACTGGGGTTAAGCGTCTTTACCTACATAGTGAGGGGGTAGGGGGAGGAGGAGATGAAGATGCTTACTAAGTTCTTTGTCAACTGAATACTTCCTGCCAAGGATAAAGCCTGAGGCCTTATTTTAACTGTTAGCTTTTAAAAATTGCTTTTTAATGTTTTACTTTTAAGTGCTTTAGCTATCAATTTGTAAACATTGCCTCCTCATTAAGATTAGATAATGAAGAAATCTCAGAGGAAAACCTGTTAGTCACACTTGTTCTGCCATCTGTTTGGAGTTGTGACAGTTTAGATATTTCAAATATTGTTTTCATGAAGGAAGAAGGATTTAAAATAAAATAAAACATATTTTACACACATATGTCCTCAAGTCTTTAAGCAAGAGGAGAGAATTTTAAAAATGTCTTTCTACTGAAATTGCCCAGAGAATGAGTAAAAAATCAATTTATTTGAAAACACTGCCAACATGAAGCATTCCCAGGTTTTAAAATGAAAACAACATATGAGTGAAAATTATTCTAGTGACTGCAAAGCACAGTTCCAACAAATGGATCCCTTGATTGATCTAAGAATGTAAAAAACCTTGGGGGACAGATAAAGAGTCACAGTGGGGCAGTTAGTCCACAGTTAGTAGATTATTATGGTATGTAACCAAAGTTAATTGTTCTATGCTTTTGCTAATCTGACGCAGTAAATTCTGCAAGAAGAAAGATATTAAGTGGAGTAATTCATAAAATACATTTGAAAGTAAATTACTTTTTTCACAGTTTTTAAATATATCTTAAATTACAAAGATGGTGAAATGTTTCCTTTTAATGTGAATAAATATTGATAAATAGTTATGTCCAGATGACAGATTATATGCTTACAAGATATATCAGTAGATTCTCAGTAGTTTGCCATATTCGCTGTTTTTTCCTTCAGTTTTAAGAAATACATTATCACTTTTTAACCAACTCTTTACTAGAAGAAAAAGGT